TTTCCATTTACACAGTCCTAGAAGTTTAGAACACCAAGACACAACAGCACCTTATGTATCCTGGTAAGGGAAACTAACCTCTTTTCCAAGTCTCACATTAAAGATAATACAAAATCAACTGGGAAAAATTTAGCAAAAACCTTGAAATTTTGAAAATAGCTTTTCCACATGTTTATTCATAGCTGATGAAGAATGTTCTTTCAGCATGTATTTTAATATTGTATTTTATTTTACAGGGGGCAACAATGGTAAGTCAAACTTATTGCTTGAAAAGTGCTTAAGGTCTAAACATTACAAAATATACAGGTGAAAGTTTGCTAGTTTTAGCCAAGTAATTTAACAGCAATGACAACATTCTACTCTGAAATCATACGAAGCAGAGATGATAGGTAAACAAGTCTATTTTTTCACAACTTGAAAAAATATCACACATGTGGAACATTGCACTCATCATACTAGTTAAAATGAAACCCAGCCTCAGTTTATGCTGAGTAAGATTCCTTGCTTGCTACCACGACACTCACACAATAAGAGCTGTAATTCAAACTAAGCAGGGCTGTATTTCAGTTTAAACAAATAAATAAATTAAAACCCCCCACACTATATTGCAGATTACATTAGGTACCAAGCAAATTCAGACTCTCAGTCAGCATTAGAATGCTATTTTTTCCCAAATAAATACTAAGTAGAATATACAATCACTGTCAAATAAAAGTGCTCAGGTCAAGCATTTGTGTGTAGGTGTACAAGTACATACATAAAACATACACACGGACAAAATATGAAGAACATGAGCAATGTATTGCAATAACAGCTCTCTTCTTAAAGACAGATTTATATAACAGCATAAAACTTGGAAGTTATCTTTACTACTATTAAAAGCTCCCCAGTATCTCTAGACGTCTGCCTTCAATAAATCCTGGAAACATTCTGCTCACATACTGAGTTTTAAGGAATGTGCAGCATATGTCAGCTTCAATAAAAGCAGTACAGTTCTTTAATTACTTCATTCACCCAGCAGCTGCTTTGACAAAGTATTTTTCTGAACATGTAAAAATGTAAAATACCCAAAAAACCCAGTCATCTATGTGCAATGACCACTCAGCATCTAACAATAATGGATATACTGAAGGACAGAAACGTGAGTTGTGCCAAGCCCATATTTCTCAGTGACTGACTGTAAAGCACTTAGAGTCAGCATTAAGCTTTTAAAACTCTAACCCTAATCAATCGTAAACAAAGAAATAAAGATCTCACAGTTATTTTTTAAATCTTAAACACTAGTACATAACTTTAAATAATTTTTCTGCGTTTTCTGATTTGCACAGCATTCTTCCCAAGTAAAATATGGACTTCTGCATGAAAACAGGCTTGTATATGCAAGCTAATTATACCTGGCCAATTTTTGAGCTTTGGTGGAAATGTACTGATTGCCATAGAGCAGAACACACCCCTGTTGGCCAAAACCAAAGGTGCACATGATTCAGAAATCTACATGGAGAAAACCTCTCCCCTTCTCCAAACACTTCTGCCCACAAGTCTTTTCATGGTACAGGACAGCAAACACCATCTCCCCAGGCTGTAGGGAACTTGGAAAAGTATGACTTGCACACATTTGGTGACAGCATGGCAACAAAAGGCCCATTAAAAATAAAAAAGGCAGATAACTGGATACAATCAATTTGCACTCATTTTCTTGTAAAGTGTTAGTGAATGGGTGCCAGCTAACTAATCTTAGTAGAGAACAAACTTAATTTATCCACAGCAGGATGTTGTCAGATTATTTTCAACCTAATAATTATCTCTAGCAGAAGGGCAATATTACACTTTGTAGAAGTAGAAACTCTGTAGAAGAAATTTGCTCTGATAAAAAGATGCTCGTGTGCTGTTTGACTAATGTGGGTGGGGGGAGGATGGATGAACCAGAGAAACTCTCCTAAACCAAAGAAATACCCTACAGGAGCAAGCAGCCAGGTGAAAGAGGATCTTTGAAAAAGGCATGGCACTAGGCGACAGGAACATTCCCAACATCCCTCCCAATCCTTTTTTTCAAGACAAGTTTAATTAACTTTCAGTAACTTTTCAGTGGAAGCTGCTATTCTATGGAGATACCTGCTACACTGAGAGTTCTCACTCCCTTCCAAGCCAGAAGGATGTCTACAATGACCCAGTCTGACCCCAGGAGTTCCAAAAGCCACAGAAGACTGTGAGGAATTCCTCTACCACACCCAGCCATTTGTTCAAGCATATACCTCTATAAAAATACTTCATCCTCATTCAAAAGATAGAAAATCTAACATTCCCTTTCAAATTTCTAATGATTCATCGTTCTTATTAAAAGTTTGCTCCTTAGTTTGTCATAAACTGATTTTTATCTCTGTGTATTGTCAACACATATTGCTTTAAAAATGTTGTGCTATGTCTGCAGTATGCAAACAGTCATATAAAATCAAGTGTCCTATTACAGATGTAAAGATTACTTTCAGGAATGTACCTTTTATTTAGTCAAGTCAGAACTGAAATTAAAGGAGTTGGAAAATAACCATATAGTGCCAGTTAAGAAGGTAAACTATGTTTTGTCCAACATATTTGTGGAGAACATATATAGAAATCATGTGTTTATAATAATAAACACACCATTATGATTGGGATTTCTGATAGATTCAGACCAAATGCAGCAATCACTGAAGAGCCATGAAGTCTACTTGAAACCAACTTTTTATTTGGAATATTTATAAGAATAAAATCTGCCTTGCCTGAAGTTTTATTTTGTTGTCTTTTTAGCACTACATAAAACAGTATGGAAGCTTAATTGTAGTATTTGATCATTTTAAGTGCTTGGATGTAAAATTTTACTCGTCAGCTTAACATCCATGACAAGGCTCTATGTAAGATGTTATTTTGCCATACTGGTTTAACTGTGTACTACCACTAAGGCAGGTAAACAGATTCCTAGGCAATCACAAACATTTCATTAAACATTTCAATTTTGGTACAATAGTCCATTTTAAGATAAAAAGAGTTATATGAATTATGGGCTGTCTCAGAGAGCTGTGGAAGCTCATTTGGGGGAGGCACATCACTCAGGGACCCAGCACTGAGAGCTCAGCCATGGCTCAACCCTGGGCTGCTGGAACAGGGCACAACTCTCACAGCTGGAGCAACATCTGCCCCTTCCTTACACAGCTGGCTCACTATTTTCATCCCTTCCATATATACAGCATGGCCACTGCATACTCCTCATCCTTTACACCTTAAGGACAAATAAAAGACAACGGATAACACAAAACCTGAGCTGGAGGCTCAGTCCTTTCTGTGACTGTGTTCTTTTCACCTGGCAGTGCCCTGAAAGGAGATGCAGGCAGTGCTACTGCTCTCAGGTTTCTGACAGATCAGAAAACCTCTTGTTCTTTCTATGTCCAAGCCAGCTCTAGGAAGGCACCTATACCCCACGGCCTTTGCACAAGAAGGGTCAGTGCTGACGGAGCTGTTCAGTGCACTGCTTTTACTCAGGATGTCTTTGAGAGTACTAAAGACTCTCCATACCATTCTAATTTTGGCACAGGGAATATCAGGAGCTTGAATGCCTCACCAGACTCTAGCATCTACTGCTTCAACACTGTAGAGAAGAAACAGCAGCCACTCCTGTTGGAGGTATTCTCCCTTCTCCACTCAAGGTAGCTCATGTGTCAAAAGCAGTTCTCCAGAGGCATGTGTTGGCTGAGGCAGCCTCTTTGATGAGTAAAGTAAAAAGTGTGTTCCCTAGATAATGGAAACACTTGTACCATTCCCACACCTTCATCAGATACATTTTTCTGAAATAGGTGTCTGTCATGTACACACACACACACCAGTTCTCTCCCCTCATATTGGCACACACAAGGAGTAAGCTAAAGAGCACAGGTTTATTTTGCAATTTCCAGGATGTCCCTGGAATGTGAATATTATGCATGACAGATCTGCACAGCTTTCTAACACGTCCAATTTTTACCACATCCGAGAGATGTAACTGCACCTGCTGAAAAGGCAACACACCAGGGCCAGCCCTCAGCAACACTCCTGTCAACACGCCACCCTTCCCAGACATGACGTCTGCAAAGCTGGTCTGTGTATGCCCTGTCCTTTCAGCAAAGTGACCCAGGGTGCTGGATAACTAATATTTGATAACACCATTAACTTTGGCTGAAGTAAGTCTGGGTGTGCTCAGGGAAACAGTTCAGTTTGCTTCCCTAGCAGGGAGAGAACGAGCAAGCATGCGTGCATGAAGTCTCCTTTTCTAACCAGCACAGCTGCTGACAAAGGAGGCTGTATCTCTCGCCTTCTCTGAAGTTAATCCCAGCAGTTTAAAGCAGACTTGTGAAAAAAACATGAATCTGAAGTTACTCTGAAATGCTACTCCAAGGACACATTAGTTCCACTAGAGTCAAAGTATATGCCAGACGCAATAGGTCGAGTTCTAGTTGAAGAGATTGCACAGAAACTAAGAGCTAATAATTCTTAATTTGGCATAACATGACATTCCCAACAGCTTCTCTCTCTCCTTTCAATAACTGTATCTTGGCAATGTACATATTAAAAAATCATTGCACAAAAGACATGTGCTGTTGCGAAAAAAAAAAAAAACAAACTAAAAACCAAAGCACCTATCTTTGTGTTGTGTTATTCCAAAAACTGAAAGACACTTGCACTGAAAGGCAAAATATGCTGATCAAAACACAAAGGGGACAAAACCTCATTCATTCCTTATTTGTTTAAGAATTACTAAAAAGAAACATTTTTGCAGGAGGCTAGGGCAACAGTAATTTAGACAATAATAAACTGAGTATTGTAACAATAACTATTCCATTGAATAAAAGAACTCTGGCAAGAAACTTTTCACACGGCATTCAACAGACATTCAAATAAATTAATGAAGTATGCAAGTTAAAATGACTTAAAAAATAAAGACTTTCTAGCAGTTTACCATAATGACAACATTCTATAGAAAGATACAATAACTCTTTGTAGCCTAAAAATTATCAGTTTTATTTTACAAAGATGACTTCCAAAAGCATCTTGTCATGACAATCGAGTTTTGAGGAAAAAACCACCTTTCATTTGATAAATACATGAAATTAACTGTTATTAAAGCCACTTAAGCACTCCTCCTTCCTGTTATCCTTCTCATCTTGGCAGTAACTGATAAGAAGATTTCAGGGAGGCTCAGTCATTGATGGCAGGATCTAGAAAAGAAACAATTTTGCATACAGTTATTCACAGCTTCTAGTTATTGTATTTCACTAACCTGCACTTAATTGGTTTCCTCCTGCCCCCGGCATGAGCACACCTTACACCATGAAAATATCGAGGTGGTTGCAATCCTATAGTGTTAATATTACATACAAAGGTAACACTAACAAAGTCCTGGTAACAGAGTCCTGTTACCCACCAACTGTGAATTGCTAATACCAGCCAGTGCTTTAGCCATAGGGACCAGACATTACTCATTATTATGCAGTTCATTACTTATGGGACATGGTTTAACTTGAGCCTGGAACTTCTGGAAAATGTACCACTCGCCCACAGGAACACACCAACGAAATAAATGAAGGACCAGATGCAATGGTAACAGCAGAATTAGTTAAGAGGCAAACTACAACTGCCTATTTCCTCCCCCTATTCCCCCCAAAAAAACATTACCCAAGATTCTGGGTAAGCAAGCAGCTACAAGAGGAAAGGAGCACATGGACTGGGCAAAGAAAAAGCTCTGAGCCTTGCATATCCACACTAAGTCCCGTGCAACCCCAGGAGGTTGTGTGCATGGCAACCCCACTTCCAACATACAGAGTAATTAATTGTATTCCCACATTAAAGCTACCATGGCACACCTCCACCTTGGCAGATTTCTAGCTGGCTTTAATCCTTTCCACCTTCCACATGCCAGGTTCCTCACACCAACTGGCCCTCAGTGACAGCTGAGTTTTCAATGCCATACAGTACCTTGATGCAAATGGGTTTTGCCCTTTTTTCCACCTTTTGCTAGGCTACACTGCCACTTAGTCACTGCATTGACATAACAACTCCACCTTCTCTACTGCAGTGCAGCTGTACATCCACTGATGTGACAATGGGAAGTGAGGGGCTTCATCCCTACAGGAACAGAGCTGCCTTTCAGTTTGCAACTTGCATCATTTTCATGCCGAGGACAGAGCATATGGTCCTTCGAAGGGACATCAAAATAAATATGACAGGTCAGTGCAATCATCATACTGAATGAATTCAAATGATGCCATATCTAAAATGAAACGTGTGCACATAATAAAGATTCAAATGACAAAAAAATTCCCCTACCCTTTCTCCTTCTCTGAATTATTTATGAATTCTGCAACTCCAGCTGTTGCCACCAGCCCAAGGACACTACTTCATTTTGGGAATGACACTTCATATTAAAAGATAAGTTAACAAAAAGAAAGCAAAAAAAATAAAAAGAAAAAAAGGACACTACAGGCCTTTAAAGACCACAGAAAAGCACAATGCATCTTTTCCCAGCTCTTACAAAGGAAAATAATCAACAATCAATTCTGTTCATGTTTCTCAACTTGTTTCCATAATTCCAGACACAGATTTCAACACTCATGCATTAAGTCAGCCATGCCTTTTTAACCATTGCAGTTAAGCAAGACTCTCACAGCATCTTGGATCCCTCACTTATTTTTATAGGGTTATCTCAGTCTTACAGTTCATCATAAACCATATGCCAACACACCAAAGACTGCAATACTATCAGCACTACTGACAGCTTTTAGTACATAAAGTGGTCATCACAAAATAATAGAATATTTGCATATGGAATTGCTTTCAGGAAAGCAACAATTTGTCCACAAATTTAAACAAAAAGAAACAACACTTTCAAAGTGCACTTTAGGACACAAAGAATTGGTTTCAAGTAATCATGACATTTAGATGAGCAAATTCTACATAGTGCTGTCTACCCACTTGTAGACAGCAGACTGCTCTGATTTGGGTTCCTTGACATATTAGTTCTTAGATTTTAAATAAGTAATTTGGCAATGGGAAGGAGGCAACATGGAGAAGTCTTAGGCAGTAACACAATTTCCATCACCTACATCAACATGCTCTCCTCTCTCACTTTAAACTAAACTTGTTTTAGTTGGCTGGTCTGTAGAGCAGATAGATAACACAGACGGGGTAAACAGAAAAAAAATTTTAAAATCCACCATTGGTTTTGGTTGCTACTTTATTCATCATGGAATCAAGATCTGAATTTTTACACAAAACCATTCACTACAATAACATACTGATTGCACTATGTTCACTGTGAAATTAACTGAAATGGGTCAAAATTTACAAGTTGCTGAGTGATGAGGAACATATAGCCCCTAAATATTAGACTTTCATGACTGACCAATGGCTTCATCCCTGCCACAAATGATATTATTCTGTTCTATACCCATGATCTTAATTTCTCGGTGTTTTCTATTTTCACTTTTACCTAACTGAACAGCAATTGGCTTACGTTCTGCTCCTGGGAGATCCCAAATGCTACAAGAACTTTTAACCAATTAATTATTTAGGATTTTTCTTTTGTATGAAGTTTTTATTTTTTCCTCCATAGTCCACCTGAAAGTGGACTAACAATTACCACAGTTCTAACACAGAGAGATGTATGAATAAACTGTAGAGCTTCCAAGGCACCATCAGACATCTCCAGTATCACTCACAAATTAAAATAAAAAGCCAAGAATGCACCATTTGCCTTTAGTGCCAAGCACATGGTTCAGGCCTCATATGGAATGCCAGATACTCAAAACACAAATTCATCTTTGGGAAAGGCAGCAAAGCCAGAGTTGCTGCCTGTCTCACAAGTGAAAAATGCCAATGGCTTGCAAGCAGAGCCCACTTTGGTTTCACTGCCAGCACTACCTCCAGCAGTATCTGCTGTTACTCAGTTTGGTACCATGAGCTCATGCAGTGTTATTCAGGAAAAGGAGATGTTGTTAAAACAAACATTTATTTGCCCTTCAGTCTACACCAGAGCTGGCACCCAGCCCTGAACAGTCTCCCTCTTCCTCGCTACTGTGGGAAAACTACTGAACAAGAATCCTCCCCTTCATCTCCTGCTGTTGGCCAAAGAAACAAAAAGGTACAGAAACAAAGAACAGACAGAGAACTGGAGGTGTGTAAAATGCCACTGAGCAGGAAGTTAAGGTTTAACATTGTAACATTTGTAGATCTCTTGCAACATTTACAAGAGCCCCAAATTCTCCTGTTGTCACACCTACATATTTCAGTTAATTACTGCCTCACTGTTAATAATTCTCCAATATTTTGGAAATTCCAGGTGCTATGCACAAACCCTCTCAAAACTACAATTATTTACAGTTGTAACCCACTCAAACGTGCATCACACTTTTTTTTTCTGAAAACTAACAAATTAAAAACAGAAACATATCTCACATTCCAGGGTTGCCATTTAACTCTCAATGCCACAGGTTCTCAAGTGCCTCCTGAAATAGTTTCTAGCTGTGCTAAAGGAATGACATTTGGAAAAAATCACCTGTGTGCTGATAGGAAAACATCCTTCTGAAGATTTTTACAAGCTTGTTGGATGCAATTGAAGTTAGTCTTCAGAAAATAAGGAAAGTCATATTCATGCCCAAACATGCTCACTAAATGCTTCTGGCTATGACATTATTTCATAATTGACACATTATACACAAATACCCCAAGAAAATACCTTTTTGTCTATGTCTGGATTACACGGCTATTCATACCCAGTGCTTCTGCAGAGCCTTCCCAATGCTGCACGATGCTCTTGAATACAAATGACCAATTGATCCTTTCACATGATAGGGTGGGGTTTGGTTTTTTAGTGTTCAATACTTCTAATGTTAAAAAAAAATTGTAACCCAACGTGGTCTTTAATCTAATCCCTACTCTGAACAATTGAAGTACATTCGTATTAATCTATTAGATGCTTTTCCACACCACACCTATGGCACTGCATAAATTACTGTAATTTAAATGAATTACTGCTTGAGAATTCTCATTTAGTAAGAAACATGCAGTGTTATATGTTATGGAAAGAAAAATGTGCATTATGGTAACTAAGTTTTATACCACAGTATATCTAGGTGCTCATAAACCAGCCATTCTAAACTGTTGAAGGACAAGAATATTAGACTGATCACAGAGAACACACATCAGTATGTCAAGAAGTCAATAATATTAAATTAAATCTACAGTTTATTTAGATATATTTCCATGCCTATATTCAGAATCCACATTAAAAATGCCACTAGGCTAGCTGAAGAATATTACTGCAAAAGACATTTACACCAACAGTAATTCTATCTCTGCCCTGGATAACTTGCATTTTCCTCTTTAGGAGTGTGATCTACTGAAACATATTGATGAAAAAAGAACTTGGAGAAAAAAAAAAAAAGAAACAGAAAAAAACCCTGAAGTTCTTTTGTTACGTTACTCCACATATTACCAATATTTAAGGATGACTTGTTTAAGACTGCACATTTCAACTACCTAACAGTAAAGAATGAAAAGCTTCTTGCTACAAGCTAAAAAGAAAGTCTTTACCATGCTCCTTGAAGAGCTCATTTTCACATTACTCAGGCTTCATTATGCTGAATCAATATTCGTTTAGTCACTGGGTTATTGACATATTTTAAAATAAAAGTATACCCTTCAGCTACTGCACTCATTACGGGTAATTTGTCTTGTCAGGGAGCAGGGAATATTATCCCAGTCTTTCAGGGGCTGACAGCCCATGGAAATACCTCCCCTTGGTTACAACTGTAAATAATTTTAAGGTAAAATATTGAAAAATCAATGACTGTTTCCTGCAATCTGTCACAAACAAATCAATCATAATCTGCACAGCCAGAGAGTATGATTTGAAGGAGATGAGAGCAGATGTAATTCTTGGCTGGAATCTCTCATTTCGAAATCACTTCACATAATGGTGTCATCATTTAAACACTTAGCAGTCACTGCAACTGCCACTCATAACATCTAGTTGGACAAAACCACAAGGAAGAGGAGGAGAAATGCCACTGCTGTTACGTAAACAAACACTTTATTTCAATGGTTGCAACATTAGCAAATTTCACAGACATAACAATAAGGCTTGCCTCTCCACAAACGTCCAAGGTGCTTTTCCTTCTCAGTGGAAGACTGCCTATAAATTAGCCTCTCAAAATGCAAAGCATTTTAAATTTTAAAACCAAGCTATGCTTCATAAAAGGTGAGAAATAATATCTGGTACTAATACTACTTCTAAAAATATTTTCATTCCCTCCAAATTGCTCATAACAGAATTATGCATCAAATTCTTAAGAGATTAAGAAAGGAGAATTATCTGAGGTACCTTTGTCTTTTTAAGAGCAATAAGGATTTCAATGCTTCTTTGTCCTCTACATATTACATTTCACATCTAATTTTCATTAAGCACACACTGACTCAACTTTAGGGTAGGAACCACTGCAAAGTACATGGGAAAGAAAGTCATAACCTACATAAATTAATTGCTAATATATTTTCAACTTGCATTCAAAGATTAAATGCTGTATATGGAATTACATCTGTATAAAGGATCAATTTCTACATAAAGAATGAACTACTGCACTTACAATGCTATAAACTGACCCTTGTAAATGTGAGTAAATTGTGTAAAACTATTCTATTTTATAGAGTAACACTAATGCTTAGACAAAAATTATTTTTTCATTTGTCCCCCCACCTTACTGTATTTTCACCCCAACATTACAGTGTTTAAAAGAATTCTCTGCACATACAACAGGATAAAACCGTGCAACTGCAGCCATAGGCCTAAGCCTGCATTTCTTGCACAAACAAAATTTACAAATGCTCATGGAGTGTTTCCCTCTGGAGTCTATAATTTGAGCTCTTAATCTTTAATGTGCAGAGCCCGTTATCACATACTCATTTTAATCACATTAACCTTAGCAACTCCTAATTCTGAATATTTATCTTACAACTGTGAGACTAAGAAAAAAATGCAACCAAAAAGATGAAATTATTTTCTCTTTTCTTGAAAAAAATCCTTTAATACTGTTTTTAAAAATTAAAGAATAGGGCATATTGTACATCTAAGTAAACCTCTCCAAGGTTTGCCTTCCTTTAAAGCGGGCTTTAAGTCTCTTTATCTTCTACATGGAAAACATACATCCCTAACTCTTTATTGATATACATCAAAACCTCTATTGTTTGTAACAGCAGGACAGATTCCCTTTCTTAGCAAAATAAATTATTAAAAAAAAAAAGAAACTGAAGTCTTAGACCAGAAGCAGTTAGTGCCTTAGAGGCTAACTAAGTGTGAATATCAGCCATGAAGAGAATGAGCTTATTGTGGGGAAAGGCCACTCCACAGCAAAAGGAAGCGGGAGGAGGCAGTGGGTGAGGAATTGCTAAAAACCAGAGTAGCTCCTAGAAATGAGTTGCAGTTCCCCACTTTTTCCCTGGATGAGATCTATAATGAAGCTATCCAATAGACAGCCTCAGGCTCCTCAGGCCTTTTAAATCTCCCCCCTGGCCCAGCACACTCACAGAGGGAAGCCCTGCTCCCCACGCTAAGCCACTGTGCGAGGGAGAAGCGCAGTGCGTACGGAACGTGTCGGCAGCTTCCCCCAGTGCCATTCCCCTGGGCCTGCTCCTCATTTCTTGTGACAATCACCTAATTAGGTGGGTCAAGAATTGCAGAAGATAGAAGAGATTCATTCTTCCTCACATGCCAGTTCTCCTATTTGTAAAAATGGCTCTTCCACTCCATTGTAAGGCACTTAATAAACGTTAATAATAATTAAGTCAGCCACATCTCCCAGACAACACTGTCAGATCTTTTTCTGCAGTATTTCAGAACTATTTGGCTCAGAGGGAGCTCCCACAGGCTCCAGACAGAAAAGGACTCACAAATTTCATCCTTCAATGCAAGAGGTCACAGAGGGCTGTGCCATAGCAGACATTTCCACAAGCCCCGAGGAGCAAGAGCAGCACATGCTGCTGCACTACACATCTCACTGGGTCAGCATCATGAGTTCAATTTCCTGCTGGACAAAGCATTAAGATGGACTGTGAGGTCTTTCTGGTTAAGAAGTTAAACTAGGTTCAATTTCTTAAATTAAAAGATATTTTTCTTTATTCCATCTTTATCAAGAAACAAAAGAACTACTGGTTATGGAAAGAGCTGAAGAAAGAAAGACACTGGCTTTAAAAAGGCTACAAGCATTTCCTCTAGTACCCACCTTCTCCATTTACTGCTCTCACTCATAATGCTCATTTAAGGCACTGGGATACATTCATCTATTTAATGCAGCTCCACATGATCACCAAACAATACAGCAATATTACATCATGCAACATTACTGATATGACACTATTAACAATACTCTACCTAATGAAGTTTATGAAGTCTTCATGTTTGGGCATTACAGAAAGATGAAGAATCCCGCTTTGTAAGAGCTCCTGCCTTCCAATTCTGTCCCTCCCTTCAGCATTGCTGAGACCATCTCACTGAGATCATCTGGAGAGGACAAAAGTAGAAAGAAAAGAAGAACATACTTATTACAGTTCTTGTCACCTGCACTGCACGATTTTCTCAACAGAAATTGGAATAAAGTTGATGTATCTGGAAACATTAATTCTGCATTTTGTAAGTAACTGAACCCAGCACCACAGAGGAAAGTGTTGTAATGCTTTGCTTAATGAATCATAGCATACTCAGAGCAGATTACTTACCATTAACTCTGAACAGGACTTAATATGGTTAAAAAGACTGCAAGCCCAGCTGTACTCTGGCTTTGTACTAGGTCTCTTCCCATATTCAGGCAGGTACACGATAGGATGGACTGCTGGGTTCATTTTCCCACCGTGGATCTCACTGCTTCTCTTTTGACTGCAATCTATAAAGATTAAAAAAAAAGGGGACACCCGTAGAATTGGGGATGGAACAAAAATATGGTATTTGTCCCTAATTCAGACAGCATGTTTCTCTGACAAACAAGGATTACAGACTGAGCAAGGCAAGGGTTTCTTCACTCATTGATCCAGTATGTTTGTTAAATCCCACAGACACTATGTTAGTGCCACATCCCATTGGATGGTGCTCAATCCCGCATGCTCTGAGAGGTGCACCACAAACTATGGGAATCAAAGATCTGAGGAACGGGAAAGTTTAATGGCATTTTGCTAATGAACCAGTAAACAGCATTAATCACTTGCCCTTGCTCAAAAGCACAACAGCCTAACATTTATATGAGCATGGACACTATTTACATCTGGACATTTCTGAGACAAGCAGAGTCCCTGTTAGGTAAACTGAGGCTGAGCTTACATGAACAAATCTAGATCATAGGATGTGCCAGAAATGCAAGGACAAAACAAGCCCAGGTCTAGCCCCTTACCTGCTACCAAGTTTTCCCATCCCTTCTCAGCCAGTCTAGAAGTCTCTCCACCCTTCTGCAGCCTCCTCTCAAAGAACTACCTGGATGACCTCAGCTTAAGTTTTACTTAGGCACACAGTAGCATAGTGTATACTACAGGGAATATCAGCTGAATTTTCACCGAAGCAATAAATTAAACACTGAAGTAAGCCTAAGAAAAAGCAAAAGAAAAAAAATACTTTTAAAATTACTTTTGAAACTTTGGCTCTACAGAGCTGTCCTCTTCCCAAGAGACATTCATGAAACCTAATGCCCACAGGAGCTGGGAGACAGCAAGGTCCTTCCTTGATAAAAGCCAGAAAGTCAGCACAAACAAAGTAATTCTCGCACTGCCAATACCATAAAGAAGTCGTAGGCACCTTTTTATAATGACAGAGTATTCTTAATAAAAGCTTCAAGCAGGTTTTACAGCTGCATATTATCCAATGAAACCAGTAATAAACAGCACTGTAGAATTATTTAGTGCAACTCCAATACGCCGAGAGTCTCAACCTGGGTTTTATTTATCACACAGGCTAAAATGTTTGTTCTTGGCTTTACAGTAGCAGCCAAGCCTGTAGCTATCTTTTATCCCAGCACACTGCCATCTGGATATTGATACTTTGCTATGGGATATGAAAGAAGAGCATAGTTACCTAATACAGCTTAATTGAAAACACAGGACCTACATATTATACCATGCATTATTCTACACAAAATTAAATCTGAAGGGCATGAAAATTTCTGTAGATGTCAGCAGAGAATATTTCAGAGGTAAATGCTGTGTTCTTGATCTGTGCTAGAAATGCTAAGAAATACTGTGAAAAATATGTGCTTACGATAAGAAAAAGCTCAGTTTTGCTCTGTTGGGAAAAAGAAGTAGCTCAGGAAGGTGCATCTCCTTCAAGAAGAGCAGGAAAGTCACCAGTCACACATTCATTAGTATAGTAAACTCTGTTAGGGTGATCCATATTCACCTCGAAAGGTCCAACTGTTTTTTTTTTTTTTCCTTGCTCAAGAAATGATTTCTATAATAAAAAAAAAAAAAAAGAAAAAATATTCTGGTTCTACAAATAGATTCACTTTAATCTGCAAAAAGCAGCTTCGAGAATCATCTACATCTGCTCTATCACCGTTAAGGAAAAAAGACTAAAAAGTTCTAATGTTAATAAAATCCCAGAAATTATGAACTGTTAGAAAGAATTCCTTGGGTGTAAGGCCAGAAAGGCTACCTGGCTTTACATTTCTCCTCAGAGAGGTACTGCTGAGCTCTAGCAAACACCAGCCGTAAAGACTGCAAATATATGTAAGTAAAGTAGATAAAGCACAAAATCTTTGGAATACAACACTGCTACTAAGCCACTCACTTCTAACACCCACACTGGAGGCCAGATTCCAGCTACAGGAGCTCCCACCACGCTGCAGCACCTGCAGGCTAAAGGGAATTTGTCACCTACATCCCATAAAACAGCACAGGGAGCCACAGCCACCCTTCCCACTGAGCTGCTCCTCATTCACTAGAGCCAACTAACAGTAGATGTGGCTTGCTTTAAGTGAAAAACTTGTTTTAGACATGAAAGAAAGCAGTTTTTCATTTTTCACTCAGAGTCTATTTTCTGCACATGTCCATGGAACTGTAAGTAAAATAAACCCTAAAGACATTCTTAACTCGGTCCATACTCTGCCAACAAATTCAAGCAAATAATGCCATTTAAGTTAATTACAGGAAACTTCAAGGAAACTGAAATACAGTTTCAGGTTCTCCCATGATACTGTCAAGATCTTTGGAGTTACATGCTCAGTACACTAACTGGGTGCTTGAAAGGCTTGTCAGCTGCACTTCTGTATTTTATTCCACACACTAAAAAGGCTGCTGAAGCAATTTAAAAAAAAAAAGACTGGAACTGATAATCAGATTTCTTTTAGCAGACAAGAAGTGATTTAAAATAGAAAGACTTGGAGAGAAAAACAAAACTCTAAGCTACCTAATACCCAAATGCGAGGCTCAGAAGAGTTATTCTAGGTGTTCACGAGTTTACACCTCGCTCTCAGACCACAAACACACAGAGTGTGAACAGGGAGCATCTCGGGGCAGAGGAAGTGCAGGCAGAAGAAAAGAGCAGAGCAGCTGAGGGTCTTGCCCAGAGAGCTCCTCCCAGGACCCTTTACCCAGGCTGAGAGCCACAAAACACGGGCACGTCAGTGCACTCCAGCACGGCACCTGAGGGAAGCGGTAGCAGTGTCTGCGGGAAGGGGCCCCGAAGTTTTACAGCCAATATTTTACATGCAGTTTTTTAGCTCTTGCCCAGTTAATAATGAACTGATTTAACACAGAAAGATACAGGCTCCTCCCTCCTCTTTGCATGCTAATTAGTTTTACTTCTATGGTAGTGCAAAGATGAGAAAGAAATTTTTCTTTTCTCTTCATGCCTAATTTAAAACATGAATATTCACATGCATTTATTTTTTTTCTGTTATGAATTGTTAATACTTTTAAAGATACTGTATAAAACATCTCTTATCAGATGTTTCCAGTAGCAATTTCCACTACCATCTGAGCCTCACAGGTTTCTTTTCTTTTAATAGGACAGCTTTAAATGAAACAGGATATCTTATAGGGGAATTACTTTTAATATTTTTTTTTCTTTAAGAGGATTCCTTTTAGCACGACATACAGAACTCTTGGTAATATCGTCACAAATTGAACTGGAGAAACAAATTCAGTGTCTAAGGTCAGGAATTCTGATAAAGAAATATCAAAAAGGTTTTGAGAAAACAACCTCCTTCTCATCTATCCCTGTAAAAAGAAAAAAAAAGTTGAAATGATCTCCTAATGCATCTCCCTTCATAATTCATGCCGAAAGATGACATTTTCTCAGGATCTTAATTAAGATAATGATGAACACCTGTGTCGGCATTCTTTGGCAAGACAGCATTATCCATCATAATCTTTTAAGTACTCTCAAAAAAACCCAACAAAATCGTATGACGGAACCAATCTGTTGTCTCTCCTTGCACTAAGTTTTACATCTCAGACACACAGAAGAACGATTAGATCTTTAAAGACTGCAATAAAAACAGGATCGTTAGATTTTAAAGTTTCAACAGAAAGTAGCTATTAAATTAATTAAATTAAGGTGTATCATATCCAAGATAGCCAAGTTTAACTCCATTCACTACAAGCAACCTGGAACTGAAGCACTTACAGTTAGAGCCTACCAATAGCTGTACTTTTAAAACATAGTTTGCTGTTACTTTCAGGATCATTCTGCCTCTTTTCACATTTGTTTCTCCCAGAAAGAAAATATTCTCAGCTGATCCCTACTGTGCATTCATGCACTAATTTATTAAGCCATTTTATGCTGTACCACGTTTGCACAATCTAAATGAAATTATGCAAAAGAAAACAGTGTAGAAAAAATAAATATGCAAATTCAAATGTTGCTATATTTTGGGTCACGTTTTGTGCAGTCATCTCGAATACAAGTTCCTCTTATACCAAAAACCTTGCTGGAGTCCAACTACTAAACTAACCAAAGACCCTTTTAACAGCTTTGCAGGACCAGCCCATCAGACTGAAGGCTATAAAAATAGGGATTTTAATTATTTACTTATAGAAGCTGAATCTAAATTCATATGCCTAAATTTAAATAAAGTCAAGGGTGTAGAGCCAACCTGTAAATCCAAGCCATTGTTAAATAAGATTTTTAGGCAAGTTTTTTTTTCTATTGCATTAACAATTTATCTTCCAAAAAAATATGAGAAAAATATACAAAGTCCAGTATTTTAATATCAGCTTGCACTGCTACAGTTTCACTGACAGATGCAAAATACACAAACTCCTGATACCAAGAACTCATCCATACCTTCAAATGCACGTACCTTCAGCAAAAATGCAAAGAAGCAGCAAATGTATCCTCAAGCCCCACGTTTGTTAACAGAACTGATGAACAACATAAGAGTCTTGAAACAAATCTCTTATTTCCCTTAGATCAAGTGGCTGAAAAGTCCTGCAAAGCAGATTAGTCTTAGGCTTTCACATTTTAATATGCTGCTATCAGAGGAAAAAGTTGCTGTGACTAGTCATTCAGTAGAGCTATCAATGTGCAAATAAAGCAGAAAATAGAGACATCCTTAAGAAATGAGTCTCAAATTTGATATAAAGTGAAGGTGACAACCACAGCAATAGAACTATAAACTAAATGTTTCAATATCTTGAATAATTATCTACAGTTCTTTTAAAACTGCAAAGAATATAATAGTGGCATAATGTAGTGAGAATGTCAGTTTGATAGGCACTTACAATCCTGACGGCGTAAGAGTTCTATCACTACCGTTTATTAATCAGCTCTGGTATTATGTTTGCAAGGCATGAAAGTATGCATGAACTCACCAGTTTCCAAAATGTATGCCTACAGAAGAAAGATTAGTGGAACATCAGAAATAAAGAGGGTAATTTTACATGACGTTAACCTTACCTCCTCTTCAAAAAAGTCAGATGCCATGGGAAGATGGTTAAAACTTCTGCTTCTTCCTACAAAGAAAGGAGCACGGAAAAGCAGTTAGTTATTCTACTCACATATAAAATGAATGTTAAATGTATAAAACTTGACCAGATGATATCTCACTCCCCGAACAAGGGGGATTGTCAAAGGATTATGACAGAAGAGCTTTCGAGTGGAGAAAGAAATGCAGTGCTCCAGAGCGATCGTTATAATGAAGCCGGGGACAAATACCGGTGACACCGTGCAGTCGAAAACTGATGAAAGTGCACACCTGTGTGGATTGAGCATGTAAGGGAGCGTGAGAGCCGGGGATAGACCCGTCCCGTTTACCGAGGCAGAACCACACGGAGTTTAAAGAGACGAAATTCCGCACACCCCGCACTAAAAAATTAAATTGAAAAAAAAACAAAAACAAAAACAAAACGGGGGGCGAGGAAGTGCAAAAGAGGATAGAAAGGGAAGGGCCAGACCGAGCGCGGCTCGGCAGCAGCGCCGCGGAGGAGCCGAGCCCGGTGCGGCCCCGCCGGTCCCGCCCGGCGCTGCCGGGACCGGAGCGGGGCCGGGGCCGACCCGCGCCGCCCGTCAGGGGGCGCCCCGCGCCGGGGCAGCGCCGCCCCGCTCCCTCACCTCGGGCCGGGCCGGGCTCAGCAAAGCCGGGCTCAGCACGGCCGAGCTCCTCCGGGCCGGGGGCGGCCACCGCGGCCCGCAGCGCCTCCGCGCGCCGTCCTGTCAGCACCGCCTCCGGACCCCGCCGCAACCGCGGCCGTGCTGCCACCGCCCCGCCACACCCCGCGCTGAGGGACAGCTCCGCGGGCCCGTGCAAGGAGCGGAGCGCCCGCCGCCGGCGGGGGAACAGCCAGTCATGCGCCGGGACGGCCGGGGGCGGGACTGGCGGGGCCGCGGCCTGATGGGTACTGTAGTGCAGGGCAGGGTGCGGGGGGTTCCTCTGCAGCGCCCGCCCCGGTCCTGGCGGGGACAGCGCGCCCTTCCCGCCCAGCCCCGGCCCTGCAGCGCGGCCGCTCGGCCAGTGCCGGCCTGCGCCCAGCTGGGGGGCTGTGGGTGCTGCCGCCGGGACGGAGCCCCGCACAGGGAGGGAGGGAGGGAGGGACGGACGGAGGCAGCGGGGCGGCGTCGGTGTCGCCTCCACGGCGACACGGGGAGCTCCTGCCCCGGCCTGCCCGTTTTAAAACACACCCCTGCTCCTCGCGTCTCCGCGTACGTCCCGCGGGGGAGCGCGGCGAGGGCATTACGGTCGGGAAATGCAAGACTTACAAAATAAAATAAATTCTAAAAATATAAATTTTATGTTGTCGCCTCCCTCCCTCGATCGAGAAAGGCACGGCGGATCCCGATAGCCGGGGGTCCGCGGCCGCTGGAACAGCTCCTTTCCTCAACTGCAAGGGAAAACAAAATGCAAGAAGGGAATAAATCGGGATATGTTTCTATTGGGAAATATATCTGGTGGAATCACAGGAGATTACATCTTCTGATCGGCAGGGATTTATCCCGGTTCATATGGTTTTAATCTGCTTTCGCCTCGACCCTTCAATGAGCCGAGGGCGGGGGGAGGATACCCGGTGTGTTCCTTAGATCCGCGGGCAAACCCTCGCTCTGAGCGGTGTCTGCGAACCCATCTCAGCCCCCTCCGCTCCCATCCGGATCGCCCTTCTCCCGCGACCGGCGCTGGGAAAGACTAAATTCGAGCCCTCCGCGAAGCTGATCCCCGCTCTTGGCCGGACCCCCGCCACTCCGTCCGCACAGCCGCCGCAACAGGTCCGGTGGCGGGGTGGCCCCTGCCCGCGGGAGCCACCGGCCGAGCAGCCCAGGGACAGGGCTGCGGCTCTTCCCCGACGAAAACCTCCTTTTTTGTTAAGAAAATCAAAACTAACAGCACCACCAGTCCGCCGTATATCCCACCTCCAATGATTTAGCGGAGGGAGGGGCAGGGGCAGAGAGCAAGAGGAGGGGTGGCTGTGCAGAGGGGGAGCCGGGCGGCTAATAAATCTTATTAAAGATCTATTTTTTTTTCATATACTGATTGGCTTGCATTCCGGCGCAACGCGGCTCCGCACGGTATTTAGCACATGCAGAAAGTTGGAGCTGATCTTAAATGGCTCGGAGGTGACTGCAATCCAGGAGCCGGCGCACTTGAGCCTCTGAGCGCTGGGGAGGGCCAGGGAAGCGCGGAGCCCTCCCGCTGGTTGGGCCCGGCCGCGGCAGCCCAGCGGGGTCCTGCCAGTCCTTCCACTGACAACACCCCGCGAAGGAGGAGCCTCGCCGGGCCGTGCTGAAGGCGTCAGGAGCTGCAATTTCCAACTTAGCATCTTGGCAGGACCCTTCGGAAAGCGAGAGCGAAGAGGAAGGAGAAAAAAAAAAGCCCCCCAGTGCAAGGGGGAGAGAGAGAGAAAGAGAGGAGGGGGGGAGCGAAAGAGGGGAAAGCAAAAGGGGGAGAAAAAGGAGGAAGCGGTGCCCGGCTGCAGGCGAAAGCGGAGCAGCAGCCCCGGCGCAGAGCAAGGTGCCGCCGCTGCCCAGCTGGCGAGGGCGGAGAGGCGCCCGCGAAGCCCCGGCCGCAGCCGCCCCAGCCCGGCAGCGCGGCGGCTCCCTCCCGGCGCCTTGGGCTCCCGGGTATATGTGTGCGCCTGGCCATGTCGTATCCTCAGGGTTACTTGTACCAGCCGTCAGCGTCCTTGGCTCTCTATTCCTGCCCGGCGTACAGCACCAGCGTGATCTCCGGACCCAGGACCGATGAACTTGGGAGATCTTCTTCGGGCTCCGCTTTTTCCCCTTATGCCGGATCTACCGCCTTTACCGCCCCTTCCCCGGGTTACAACTCCCACCTCCAGTACGGCACCGACCCGGCCGCCGCCGCCGCCGCCGCCTTCACTTCCTACGTGGTAAGAGCAGCCGCGGGCAGCCGGCACCGCGCCGGGCACGACGGCATCCCCCGGGCGCTGCCCCCCCCCCCCCGGGCCTGCTTTTTGTTCCCATTTTATTTTTGAGATCTCGGGGACAAAAGGGAGCGCGGCTCCCCGCCACGCCGCCCAACTTTCCCGCATCGCCGCCGTGCCCTGCCTCACACTGTTGCTGGCGGCAGCGGCGGGCAGGGCCGGGCACGGGGGGAGTCGCCGGCACGGCCCGGGCGAACAGGACCAGGGCAGGCAGGGACCGGTTTCATTCCCTTTTTAAAAAAATTAAAATTAAATGTATAAAAAACAATCATACTTCTGCAACAATTAGCTTGTTATGATTGAAAAGGGAATGAATTCAGGACCGGTCGGCGATGGGAGAAATCCGGGCGATAAATCCAGGCAACTTTCCCCTGCACGGCGATAATTAGGCTTAAATATTGCAGAGCTCTAATCCCATGGCCGCGAGCTGCTCCGCGGGGCTGCGCGGGGAAGGGAAGGGGAAGGGGAAGGAATGGCACTGCGCCGCCGTGCGCGCCCGCGGGGCACCGCGGGGCCGGTCCGAGTGCCGGACATCTACACCGCAGAGCTGCGGCCACAGCCAACGCCCCGCAGCTCCCCCCAAAAACCGGCGACTTTGGCTCAGTTTCTCTATGTTTAGGGCAGAGTTACACAGTTCCTTCTTTCCTTTTTCTGAATCCTTTTCTGTTGTTTTGCCTTTTTATTTTCGCCCCTCTTCTCTCTTCTTTTATTTTGTTTTGGGTTGTTTGTTTTTTTTTTTTTTTCTCTTTTATCTTCTTTTCTTCTCTCTTTTTTTCTTCCCTTTATTTTTCCCTCCTCCCGTCCCTGGGCAGGGAGGAGCGGCCCAGCCCGCCCTGCCGCCTGGGCCCGGCAGGTTGTCTGCCGCGATCGCAGCGCGGGGGGTAAGGCTCCGGTCCCCTGCCGCTGTCCGCCCCCACGCCGCGCTGTCCACTTGCTTTTCCGCTTCTTCATTTAGGGTAGAACCGCTGGTTTGCTGCAGGCAGCCGGTGGTGTCCTGGGGTTGGAGACTACGGGCCCCGGAGAGCCCCCAGGCCCTTCTTCCTAGGAAAGAACCGGGGGAGAAGCCGGGCAGGGCCCGGCGCCGGGGGAGAGGCGGCGGGGCGCGGGCAGGGGCTGCGGGCAGGCCCTGGCGTTGCCTTTGCCCTGTCATTGCCGCCCCGCGGCCGCTGACCTCGCCCCGCCGGGCCGCTCTCCCCTCTCTCCCCAGGGCTCGCCCTACGACCACACGCCGGGCATGGCCGGTTCCCTGGGGTACCACCCGTACGCTGCGCCGCTTGGCTCCTACCCCTACGGGGACCCCGCGTACCGCAAGAACGCGACACGGGACGCCACGGCCACCCTCAAGGCCTGGCTCAACGAGCACCGGAAAAATCCCTACCCCACCAAGGGCGAGAAGATCATGCTGGCCATCATCACCAAAATGACCCTCACCCAGGTCTCCACCTGGTTCGCCAACGCGCGGCGGCGGCTCAAGAAGGAGAACAAAATGACCTGGACCCCACGAAACCGCAGCGAGGACGAGGAGGAAGAGGAGAACATCGACCTGGAGAAAAACGACGAGGATGAGCCCCAGAAACTAGAGGAGAAGGGGGACCCTGGGACGCCGGACACAGGTAGGACAGCGGGCTCGGCCGGGTCACCGCGGCCGCGCCCTCGGGGCTGCCCCCGGCCCGGTGCATGGCGGCCTGTTCCCCGGGGCGGGGGGAGCCGGCGGGCAGCGGTGCGGGCCTGACCATGGCGGGGACCGAGAGGTGGGCGGCGAAGTGGGTGGGCGGGTTTGGGGGCGCAGAGCGAGTCCGAGAGCTGCCCCCCCACCTCTGTCCTTTCTCCCCCCTACCAGGAGCGGCGGATCCCAAGGCAGCGCCGGGCTGCGAGCGCCTCCAGGAGTCCCCCGGCCCCCGGGAGGCCGAGAGCGGCCTCAGCGACTCGGATTGCAAAGAGCTAGCGGAGGAGCGGCTCGACGGGCCGCCCGTCCCCCACAAGGCGCCCGGCGCTTCCCCGCTGGGACCGTGCCCGGCGGGCCGCGGGCCGCAGCCGGCGGGCGGCGAGGAGCCCCCGCCGTACCGCCCGCCCTCCGCCGCCGCCGGGCCACCGCACGCCGCCGACCTGCACCCGCTGCTGCCCGCCGCCACCGGCGCCTCCGTCATCCACTCGCCGCAGCAGGCGGCCCTCGCCAAGCCCAAGCTCTGGTCGCTGGCCGAGATCGCCACCTCGGCGGACAAGGCTAAGGAGGCCGGCGGCGAGGCGGCAGCCCCCGGCCCCGCCGTGCTGGGCGGTAGTGGCCCGTCCCGCTCGCCGCCGCGGCCGCGCTCGCCGGGCGCGCAGTGCCCCTTCCCCAACGGGGCGGTCCTGCCCCGGCCGCTCTACTACACGGCTCCTTTCTACCCCGGCTACACGAACTACGGCTCCTTCGGGGCCCTGCACGGGCACCCCGCCGGCGGCCCCGCCGCTGCCGCCCCCGGCGCCCACTTCAATGGATTAAATCAGACTGTCCTCAGCAGAGCCGAGAGCTTGGCTAAAGACACTAAAATGATCAGGAGCCAGTCCCAAGTAGACCTTTGCAAAGACTCACCTTACGAACTGAAGAAAGGTATGTCCAACATTTAATATCGGCTTCTCCTCCCTAACCCCCCTGGGACTGTGGTTTTGTTCCTTTTTTTTCCTTCTTCTTTTTTTTTTAATTTATTTGAGAGAATAATAAATTGCTTTGGCAGTTATTTTTCCAGTACCAAAAGAAAAACAAAACAAACAGAAAAAGACCAGCTCCCCCCTCCCTCCCAGCACCCTCTCCAAAAGTTTATAGAGTCTATTTGAAATGGCTGGGTGGAAACCGCCCAGAAATGTCTTAAGCAAGTGAAAAGCAAACGAGTGACACGCTCTCTCTCACACACACAAAGAAGAAAGATTTGTATTAAATCTTATTCTGTATATTTAATGTAGCTTTTTTGTATTTAAATTGATAATACAGTATCTTTGAAGTAAATTATGAAATTAAGACAACTGTACAGGCATTAATGTTGTTTTCGTAATATAAATATATACATTTCTGTGTCTTTTTCCGAATTGTTTCATAGTTTTAAAATATATATATACAAGTTTAATTTAATTTTTTATGCCTATTGTTTTTTTTCCTTGGGTGTGAGTTAAACTATAATGCAAAAACAAGAGAAAAAAAGGAAATTATACGTATTAGATTTAAAAAAGCAAAACAACCAAACAAACCTGCAGCCGCCTTTGTAAAATACAAATATTTAATTAAAAGAGATTTTTAACAGAATCAAAACTACTCTCTTTTTGCAACGGGCAGATATGTGCAGTGCTGAGGAAAAATAAAAGCACGTCTTAAATGAGATGCGGAACTCCGTTTAGCACCTCACAGTAATACCTGAAGCCTTTTTGGAAGTGGCAGGAAATTTTTAAAAGGTCGGGGGGCTCCGGAGGCGAGAGGCGCCCGCGGGGCCAGGAGAGGCGAGCGGCGGCGGCAGCGGGACGGGGCCGGGTGCGGGAGGGACGCTGTTCCCAGAGGTGAAGGCTTAAATCAGGCCACGCACAAAAGCACTTGTTAGAAACACCAAATCGAAGCACAGTCCCATCTTTTAACCTAATTACTTCCAATCAGTGTCGTGTTTTATGCAAAGCAATCAGCTGGTGAACTTTGCTAATGAGTTCGATTTTCTGCCAGATTTAGCCCGCGTCGCTGCAGCAGCGGTGCTGCGGCGGCAGCCGGAGCCGCCGACCGCTCGGGCAGAGGCGCTCGGTGCGGCGGGGGCCGCCGCGGCCCCTCTCCCTTGCCCCTCTCCCCAGGCTGGGCGCGCAGCCCCGCTGCCCCCGGCCCGCGGTTCGGGGCGGGCCCGGCGGGGCCCGCGGGCGCGCAGCCCCGCGCAGGGCCGGCCGCGGGCGCGGTGCTCCCGGCGCTGGCAGGTAGGTGTCACACTCGGCCCGGCTTTGGCTCCCGCCGCCCGCTCGGCCGTGCGGGAGTCCCGCGGGGCCGCGCTCAGCTCCGCGCTAAGCCCGCGGAGCCGTGGCTGATGGTGGGACAGGGGCCGCGCCGCCGGGGCAGTCCCAGCCACCAGACGTCCCTTGGGTGCGGGGACAGACAGAGCCCTGAGCCCCCTCCGCGCCGTTCTGCCGCCCCACAGCCCAAGGCAGGGGGAGGCGGGTCCCCGAGCGGATTAGGGGCTCCCCAGCGCGGAGCCAGTTCTCCCCAAAGCCAGTTCTCGCTGGTGCGGCTGCCCGAGCAGCCCAGGTCCCCTGCAAAGAAATAACGGAGAGGACTCTTCCAGCACTCGGCTTCGGGGACTGGTGTCCCTTTGTTCAGCGTGGATTTTGGGGGTGTCAGCTCTACGCTGACATTGACACTGCTGATGTCATGGGAGTATGACTGGGACCTCTGCGGCTGGTGTCGAGACACCACTTCGTTTGCTTGCATTTTTTTTCTTTACGAGTCAGATAATTATTTTGTAATCTCTTCAACTTTGTCAGAGCCATTTATTAGCTGTAACAGGTTTATTCATGCATATTTACATTTTACGGGAATTTAAATAGTAGTTTGTATTTTGAATTTTAAATATGTAGTCTATGTTCGCTTGATGATACGATTTTTTGTAGATAACCTGGTTTAAAATCAAAATTGTTTCAACTGAATATGCAAAAATTCAAATATTCCTGGGATAATAGTATGTTGTTTTGTCATTTTATTAATGATAAATGATTTTTTAAAAAACGCTCGAATTCCTCCGTTGGATATTTCATTTCCAGTCCGTGAGATCTGCAGGAAGGCGTATTTTTCGCGCAGCAATGAGCTTTACTGGACTCACCTGCCTTGTTTAAAACGGGATAAAGTTCTCGCGGCGTGGGGCACGGTAGAGCTGGCCCGGGTAGAAGCAGCCCCGATGTGCGGGGCTGGAGGCAAAGCGCCGCGGGCCCCTCCTGCCCGGGCCCCGCCGCCCCGTCCCCCCGGCGGAGATCGCCTCCGGCTGAACTCGGGGAAACTCCCTAGCGCCCTGTGCTAGAGAGGGAGCGACAAAGCCCCTCAGGACTGCGCTCCCGAGACAACAGGTTCCGCAGAGGAACGACTAACCTCAAAATAAATAGGTTTCAATTATTCATCTAGCTATGGATTTTTTTTTTAATTGTCGTGCTACCTTTCCACAGCTGATCTTCCGATCTCTGAAAAAGCTATTTTGCAAAGCAGCTTAGGAGATTCGCTCGTTCAAAAGCCCTATTCCTTATACTCAGGGCTATTCTGAATAGGTCTATTAGCGATCTCAATACGGTTTTCGTTTGATGTATAAATTCCTAAGGGAATTAACCGTTTCCTTTAGGTTGCAGCCTGTCGCCTATTTTAAACCATAACTATTATTGTAGCCCAAACGATTTCATACAACAATTTGATTCATCACCCTTTCCCCCTGCCACAGGAGATATACTGTATAGCCATTCTTTAACATAAGCACGAATTTACCAGTTTCTTTTCTGTAACAGAGTAGGGGGGAAGGGGGCAGCGTTCGCCTTTTTTGCCTCTGGCATGTTAATTTGTTGTTGAAAAAAAAGAAAAAAAGAGGATATCTTAAAATAAAAATAACGCCTCCTGCCACTTAGAGCTGCTGTAGGTGACTCAGGAGCAGCCTCAGAGCGGCGGGGAGCGACTCTCCCGCTGGGAGCGGAGCCCTCCCGGGTGCGGGCAGGGCCGCGGGCTGCCCGGGGAGGTTTGGGGCGGGAGGGCTCCACTGCCGCTGCGAAGCGCTTTTTGGGCAGGTGATGGGGAAGAGCGGGGCTGGAGGTGGGGTCCTCCAGACTGGGCTTTCATCAACTCGCCTGGCAGCAGGTGCTTGCCCAGGGGCGCAGGTGGGAACGGCCCAGCCTCCGCGGGGCGCAGCTCCGCTCCAGGAAGAAACCGCTCTCCCCTTTCCGTGCCCACTCCCTCTCCTTTCCGTCCAGGACCCCACGGCACGGCCCGTGATGGGGCGGGGGAGCCGCGACCCCCACGCCGCCCGCCTCGACGGCGCGGGTCGAGCGGCGCAGGTGGCCTGGGGCGCAGCAGAGGGGCCACCCTGTCCCGCAGGTGCCAGTCCAACAGCCCCCCCAAAATCCGACAAGGGTGTTGGCCTGCCTGACCCTGCAGGGCCCACGCGTGGGGCCGCAGGAATAGCTCAGTCTCCAGGTCGCCGCGGACCGAGGATCCGGGACCCCAGAAGAAGGTGCGGGGACTCCCGGCGGGAAGCGGCAGCTCGCCGGGCAGGGAGTGCAGCTCACCTCGGGGAGCCGGGGCGGCATCCCTCTCCCCGCCCGTCCGAGCCAAGTGTCCTGTCCTTGGGGAAGGATGAGGCTTCCCCAGAGAAACCCAGGCAAGTGTCCCGAGGTATCCGTGCCCGTTCCTACGGGCCTACCGACACCCCAGCGCACCCAGGATAACAGGACCCCAGGCGGGCTGCGAGCCCAGAGCTGCAGCTATTGGTCCTATCCATGGTAAAATTCTCTCAGTCCGGGAAGCAAAGAGACAGAGCTGGGGGTGCGGTCCGCAGCCAGCACAGCCCCCGAGCTCCGGCTGGGAGCCCCCTGTACCTCCAGCCCCGATTCTCAATTGCAGGGACGGAGGGCGAGAGAGGTGGGGAGCCTGGCGCAGCTCTGCTGCTTCCTCTTTCACGCTTAAAAACAAAACAAATCCTAATTTAGACCCTCAACACCCCGGACCGTGTTTACATCCCCCCCGCTGCTCTCCCCCCGAGTGTTGCCTTTCCAATTGTCACGATTAACCTACGGGGCTCCCGCTCGGCTCGGAGCCTCCGCGGCGGCCGGGACGGCGCGGTCGCGTCTAATTGGCTTATTGGACCTCCCCCCGCACACCTCCCCCGCCCCGGCAAGGGGTTCTGAACAGCATCTTCTCTTGTCAAGCCGAGGAACTACGTGAAAGCCCCTCCGCCAAGAAAACACGGTAAATCACACGGTCAGCAAGTTTAAAGGAGGCGAATTAAAAATAACACAGGGGTTTGCAGTAGGGAAAAGTACAGGAACTTCAACCTAAAACTGAGACAAGTTTAGAAAAAACAAAAACACCAAAAGAAAACAAAGGAAAACTCGTCCCCATGGCCCGGTCCGGCCGGCGCCCAGCGCCGGTGCGCAGCCGCGAGTATTCCTTAGCCGGCGGTGCGGTGCGCCCGGCTCTGCAGCGTTCCGCCCGCCCCAGCAGCAGCAGCCAGGCTCGGGGCAGGCTTGGAGCGGCACGGGAGTGCCGGGGAGTCCGCCCGCCCCCCCCAACCACCCCCCTCCCGCTCCCCTCTTTCTGTGACCTGCCACGATTATTAGTAAGGACATCTGTGGCTGGCAAGGGAACAAGTGTTACCAAAACCAGAACCGGCTGTTTTTCCAAATGAGCAATATGTTAATTCCTCATCCCCCCTCTGGTTTCTTTAAAACCTGGCACAAATACATCAATGGCGGAGAATAAGGAGCCTTTGCACAGAACAAGTGGCAGTTTTGAATTTACCTTTTGTGTGCGCCTCAGATGCAATCTTGAGGCATTTTTTCCCTTCTCTCCCACAGAAAAAGAGTGCTAATCTGCCCTATCTTGGGACCCAAAAGGATTGGAGTGGAGTAGATATTCACTGGAATCACATAGGGGAATAAGGGTC